AAGGTAAACTGCATCTCTACCTTAAGTAAAACATGTTTTTTTCTGAACTAATTGAACTGTCTGTCATTGTCATTTTCATGCACAGTGTAGCGTTGACGTACGACTACACATGTATTTTCTGTGATAATATTATTTACTTAGATTCAAAAAAATAATTGATTGGCCACAAATAATTATTTCTGCACTTTTCCTAATAACTAATGACCTTTGTTGAACTCACAAAATGTGAGTGATTATGAACAAATATATGACATTTTCAAGTATTGTTGGTTGCATTGTCTGTCGTATCATGAAACCAAGTGTTGGCAGAACTCACATCATGTATGATTTCAATTCGTTTGATTACAAGATATATTCGCTGAAAATCTTCGCGCGATATAAAATAAACTATTGTCGCACACGGTTAATATGAAATCCCAGTTACACGCGCGCCTCGTATTATCGCTTTTCGCTTTATTTCAGATAAAGTAACCCTTAATATGCATTATAACTTGTATCTCGGCGAAGAACATTATTTGAATGTTCAAAAGCAGACAAATTTAGTAACATGGAAACTAATCCAAAGTCACATTATACGATTTCAGTAAATAACAATTATATATTTTCCTGGAACATTTGGTGAGTACCTGGACTGCACCTCTTGATCTTTACGGATTCGTCTTGCATCTAGTAGCACATAATATCGCCTCCGCTATGTTTTACATTTTCGGACGTTACCGAATACACAATGATATCTAGAAGGAATATCTCTCGTTACAATTCAAAACCGTGGTATTCGGTGTAATTTGTCATGCGTACTACTACGTGATGACACAAATACGATGATTGATGAAAATATATTGGAACCGACAGTGCAAAGACGCGGAATGTGCCGACAATATCGCTTCATCATCAGACTCTCCCAAAAAGCTGGCTAAGATCCGATTATCAGACTTCGTGTTGACAATCAATAATTCAATACATTCTGTGCATTTTTAAATAGGCATTAGGAATATGTTGAATACAGGTGTCCCTTTAAGACATCCGAATGTGAAAAAATGTATGTATATTTTAGTAATGCAAGATTTTTTTAAACAACAGCTGTACAATGTCGAGATAACGCCTTGAGGAATATAGTTTCAAATTTCTTACCATCTAGGAAACAAAATTAACAAAAAAATAATCACCACGATGAACATATTTTCTAACTATTATGGCGTCATGCTAGTCAAGTACTTAGCTTCAACATGTGTATGTATCGTGAACAATGCATGTACACTATGCGAGAAGAGCCCATACAATTGTAATAAGCATTAAATATTTTAGATGTATACTGGTTTTATTTTATTTCAAACATTAACATTGAAATTGGAGAATCACCAACAACATAAACATTAGCATATTTTCGAGAGCGGAGCTACGTCACGGGACGTTCTATGTTTCTAAAACGCGCACCAATTCACTATGTATTTCAAGGGTTCTTCGCAGCTGCTGTGGAACGCCGGTCAAAGAACCGGTGAATACAGCTACAGTCGATAATACAGCACAAACTCAACTATGAACAAATTCCAAACAACCATATTTATATATGTTGCACCCGTAGGGATAATCCTGTTACATTGTTCAGAGTTTTAACAATTATCCTAATCCACTGTTTTTTCACAATATCTGCATTCTTGTAAAACATGTTTTTTGCAAACACACTGTTCATCAATGGGAAAGTGTCGTTATTTTTAGACAGATACAAATACAGTGGTTTATATATAGTATTTTCATTCTATTTTACCAGGTTCTTTGTATGTATTGTTCGAAAATTTAGGTCTCAAACATAATGTGACTAATGAAAATAAGACTAACTTGTGTCTATTCAATGTGTACATTCGCACATTGTTGTATACAGTATGGTTGTTGTCTACAATATGTACATTTTGTGTACCGTACCCGTACCAAAGAGTTTATACAAATAAATTGACTACATTTCTCATCACCAAACATGCTTTTATACTATTTTTTAAATATACTTTATCATAAAGTACGTATTATCATTAACCGTATCGATCATATTTGCATTCTACCATATTCGAAAATGCAAAATAAGAAACGAGGGCGTGTTATTTGCTATCATATCAGTAAATGGTGTATGTTAACGACAAAAACTCATTGCAAATGAAAATGAACACAATCAACTATTTTGCCCTTGGTTGACGTAACAGGTGTATTATAATTAAAATCACAAAAATACACATATGCTGTTTTCATATTTAGAGGTATTCTAGTGATAAAAAGTTAAAGTATACTGAATCATATCTTCATAATGTATACACAGGTTATTGCTATAACACCTAAATTTACCATGTAGTACTCAGCCATCCAACCATTTATATTTCAATGAGATAAAAAAAGATTTCACCCGTTTATTAAATTAACAAATTCAAGTCAATTTCATTTAAATCAAACATATATTACTTATATATGTCAAATATATACGATAAAACACACAAACGCTGCAAATATTAAGACTTGTGTGAAGCCAATCATAAAACCTTGTATATATCCCAGAATTAAACAAATTAATTAAAGATGGTTGCATATTTAATAGCTCCATCTTAACATTAACCATAAAATATTGGAAACCATTTTATTTTCCTCATGTGCTATTAATTTGCGGTTTAGTTGAAAGAATAACAATGTGTGTTGCATGAATAAATAATACTATTTTCTCATCAAAATTGCATTTGTTGATACTAAATATTGGCCACGGGGGAAGTATACAATTAATCTTCTGCACTGTGCCAGATAGCATTAATAACGATTACCCGCACTGTGTGCTGAAATATCACAGTGTAATTCAACACTTCATAGTTCAACACTTCATGGTTCGACACTTCATAGTTCGACACTTCATAGTTCGACACTTCATGGTTCGACACTTCATAGTTCCACACTTCATAGTTCGACACTTCATAGTTCGACACTTCATGGTTCGACACTTCATGGTTCGACACTTCATGGATCGACACTTCATAGTTCGACACTTCATAGTTCGACACTTCATAGTTCGACACTTCATAGTTCAACACTACATGGTTCGACACTTCATAGTTCGACACTTCATAGTTCGACACTTCATAGTTCGACACTTCATAGTTCAACACTTCATGGTTCGACACTTCATAGTTCGACACTTCATAGTTCGACACTTCATAGTTCGACACTTCATGGTTCGACACTTCATAGTTCCACACTTCATAGTTCGACACTTCATAGTTCGACACTTCATAGTTCCACACTTCATGGTTTGACACTTCATAGTTCCACACTTCATGGTTCGACACTTCATAGTTCGACACTTCATAGTTCGACACTTCATAGTTCGACACTTCATAGTTCGACAGTTCATAGTTCGACACTTCATGGTTCGACACTTCATAGTTCCACACTTCATAGTTCCACACTTCATGGTTCGACACTTCATAGTTCGACACTTCATAGTTCGACACTTCATAGTTCGACACTTCATAGGTTCGACACTTCATAGTTCGACACTTCATGGTTCGACACTTCATAGTTCCACACTTCATAGTTCGGCACATTCATAGTTCGACACTTCATAGTTCGACACTTCATAGTTCCACACTTCATGGTTCGACACTTCATATTTCGACACTTCATAGTTCGACACTTCATGGTTC